TGATTTGCTCTACTTTTAGGTAGAGGGGCTGATGTGCCACAACAATGGACGTAGAGGGGCTGAATTGCACCTTCTGCCTTTTATAAAAGGTTTCTAATTCTCCTCCTCCTCTCCTCCCCTCCTTGCTTTTTCCCCAGAATTATATTTTGTGCAGGGAAAATGGCAAAGATATGTGCTTTTATTTGTGTATTGATTGTAGCTATTGATGTAACTGCTGGTGTTCTCAGCATTGAGGCTGAAATGGGTAAAGATAGGGTGGGTTATATATCTTGGATTTGATTTCTTCTCATGTACTTGTTTAAATAACATCAACTTTGCAATTTTTTGATGAGCAGGTAAGATACAAGAGATTGAATGATTTTGAGTGTCAGGAGCCATATGATAGCGCTTTTAAGTTTGGATTGGCTGCAGCAACTCTACTAGGCTTGGCACATATTACTGAAAATTTGGTCGGAGGTTGTATGTGCATGTGCTTCACAGAAGAGCTTGAAAGATCATCCTTTAATCGCCAACTATGGTTCGCGTGCATCATTGTTTCTTGGTAAATTCATCATTCCTCAACAAATATTAGTTGGAAGAAAATTCTTAGCTTTGTTATTTTGATCTTATGATTTGGAGCCAGAAGGTAATAAGAAACATGTTTATGATCGATGTTTTTTGACCTGCAGGATTGTAGTGGCTATTGGGTTTCCAACATTGGTGGTGGGAATGCTGGAGAATTCAAAATCAAAAGGGTCATGCCGGACTTTGCCCCATCATTTTCTGTTCATTGGAGGGATATGCTGCTTTATACATGGCTTGTTATGTGTTGCATTTTATGTGTCTGCAAGTGTGAGCTTTGTAAATGGAAGAATAGATGGCCCTCAAGAGGGACAATACCCTTAGAATCTCCCAAAACATATGTACCTGGCTTTTTAAATTCAAATTTTTGACTGAATTTTTAAAATTTGATCAACTACCCACTTCCTAACGGGGTTGAAGGTAGGAAAGTGTTAGAAAATTTGTCTGGAAGCTGAGAAAATGCATCAAACTACATGTGAAATCTCTTCTGATACAGTGCAGGCACCCCAAATAGGTAAGGAAAGACATGAAGACAAACACTTCTGCAAAAGCAAGGACAGTCAACTTTTCTTGGCATTTTGTTATAAGTTTTCTTGGAAAGAAGATGAACATGGAGTCTAATAGTAATTTGCACAACAAGAATAACTCTATTTATCCATTTCACTTACATGTCTATGAGTTACTTAATCAATCTAAAACCTCTTGTTTTCATTCGAGGAAGATTATCAGAAGGCCTAGGTAAATAAGTTCAATAGTTGGAAAATAAATTTTTCATAGAATGAATGATATTGTTTACGCTTGATGAAATGACTTAGCTCACAACACAAATTTTGCAGAGGTCATGAATCCAATCACTTGGCTAACATGGGCATACATGTTTCCAAATACCACAAAAATCCAGCCAAAAACCAAAGGTGTGGGGTAGGGATGCTGTCAACTTCCCTCCCTGCCCTCGTGGGGGTTTTGTTGGGTTTGCCACGAGGGTGGGAGGTGATGGGAAGTATTTTCTTTTGGTAAAACTTTGTGGGGATATATTTTTTTATGTCATGGTTATAGCTTATAGCCTTATACCTATTACTTATTTTTAATTTTATTTCAATACTTTAAATTAAACCCAAGTTAATACTTTTTTATTTTAACTTAACTATTTAAAATAAAAATATTTTATT